GGGGGGGAGCAGAGTGTGGAGGCGGGGGACGGCAGCCAGACCACAGCCAGGAAGCTGGGACCCTGGCAGCACCAGGCGCTGAGAGACAGGACCGTCCCCACCCTGAGGCACTGGAGGAGCCCGGCCCTGTGGATCCTCGCGCCCATGCCCCGGCCTCCAGGCTGGACGAGCATGTTCCCAGCCAGGGCCCCTTTCTGCAGCATGTCAGGGCCTTGGGGAAGAAGAGTGTGGGGCCGCCCAGCATGGCCTCACGCCTGGACGAGCATGTTCCCAGCCAGGGCCCCTTTCTGCAGCATGTCAGGGCCTTGGGGAAGAGTGTGGGGCCACCCAGCATGTCTGCCCAGCTGGCCTCCCACCCCCTGGCACCCAGCCGCCTCTGCCTCCCGGTTTGCTGGGCCACAAATGTGGTGAAGCTCATGCTGGCCCCACTCCTGAGGCAAGTGTGGGGCGCCACTGCCTTTCGTGGGCCTAACTGTGGGGAGGCAGCCCGGTCCCTGCCCACACCTGCGAGGACACCCCGGCCCTCACCCCACACGGGCCGAGCGCATGACTCCAGCATGCAGCTGCCGGGTAAAAGGCCCACCCTGGAGGACAGGGACGGTCGGGCGCCAAGCGACTGGGTCAGTGCAAGGTTTCCGCAGGACCCTGGACAGGCCCGCCGTGGCCTGCCTGCCGTGGCTCACCCTGACACAGTGGTACGTGGCACTGGTGGTGCAGACCAGGTCGCTGTTGGGCCAGCCGTCCAGGTCCGAGTCCTCCCCGCAGACCAGCCCGTCGCCGGCGTACCCGGTCTGACACTCGCACTTGAACATGGGGTCGCTGAAGTGGCCCAGGTAGATGCACTCCGCGTGTGCGTGGCAGTTGTGCGTCTTGTCTTTGCAGGGGTTTTCAGGCTCACACACCTGGGGACGGGGCCCACATGAGTCTCTGACACGCAGGAGCCCGCAGCGCTGAGAGGGCCCATGCAGGGGTGCTCTGTGAGGGCTCCCAGAGCAGCCATCAGGGGGCTCCGGCCCACCGCTCACCCTGCCACGGCACAGACAGACACGCCTGCCACCTGATGCTCGGACCCCACCGGACAGCCCAGCCCTGAGTCTGCCCTGTTGAGGAAGACTCGGGCAGAGCTAGGCCTCGGCACCTGTGGGCAGGCCCTCCACCCAGGATGTCACCCTTCCCCTCGCCAGTCCCACCCCACTTCCCTGGACTCTCCTGATGCGTTAAAGCCTTGGAGGGGGCCCATGCAGGCGGCCTGCCCACCTGCTTTCCAGTCTTGGCGGCCTCCAGGCCCACTCCGGAAGGCTGGCTCCCTCGGTAGCGGGGCGGGCAGGGCAGGCAGTGGAAGCCCGGCTGGGAGTTGATGCAGCGTCCCGGCTTGCCGGCGGGGAAGCAGACATCCGTGACCACAGCACACTGCAGGGGCACAGATGTGAGCGGCCCAGTCTGTCTCACGGGCACCCTGCTGCCCTCCCCGCAGCCGGCCCGGACGCCCACCTCGTCCAGGTCTTCGCAGTGGGTGCCGTTGCCCAGGAAGCCCACTGGGCAGGAGCCACAGGACCAGGACCCGTCGGGGAAGCTGCTGCACTCGGCTCCAGGGAAGCAGGGGTTGGACAGACACCCATCTGCGGGCAGGCTGGTCGAGTCAGCGCTGCGTGTGACCCCGCGCGAGCCCGGGCACGCCCAGGGAGGTGCCCGCATGGCTGACAGCTGTCCTAAACTCATGCTTTAGGGATACCCTGGCACTGCCCTGGCACGGTGGAAAGCCGTGGCCTCAGAAACCCTCCTTCCAGTCGCGACTTCCAGCAGGCATGTGCACGTGGCCGTGCCGACGCACACGCACCGCCATGCCATACAGCGTGCTTTCCCGTCTGACAGGGAGTGCCCCGGGCCCTGTGGACGCCGACAGCGGCTTTTCTCTGCCA